AAGAAAAAGAAAAGGAAAAAAACAGCTGTGTCATTTTGTAACAAGTGTTGGAGTTTGTTGGAATCAGCTAAATGTCTTGAGAAACAAACCATAGGAGGAAAGGAAGAAAAACCGATAAATACTGTCTGTGCCTGATTTCCCAATGGATTTTGTTCACGTTTTTCAGGGAAAAGGTGGCTACTTAGTTACAATCAGACTAATCTAATAAAGTACCAGTGATCTAATCAACTTCACTGATCTAATCAACTGCTAACCTAATCAACCACTAACCTAATTAATTTCACTGATCTAATCAACCACTGATCTAATCAAACACTGATCTGATCACTTCACTGATCTAATCACTTCACTGATCTAATCAACTTCACTGATCTAATCAAACACTGATCTAATCAACTTCACTGATCTAATCAACTTCACTGATTTAATCAACCACTGATCTAGTCACTTCACTGATCTAATAAACCACTGATCTAATCAAATTCACTGATCTAATCAGCCACTGATCTAATCAAATTCACTGACCTAACAAACCACTGATCTAATCAACCACTGGCCTAATCAACTTCACTGATCTAATCAACCGCTGACCTAATCAACTTCACTGATCTAATCAACTTCACTGATTTAATCAACCACTGATATAATCAACCACTGATCTAATCAACCTTTGATCTAATCAACTTCACTGATCTAATCAACCACTGACCTAATCAACTTCACCTATCTAATCAACCACTGCTGGTTTAGGGTACTGCTTCCATATACAATGTGAAATGCTTACACTGAATTAAGTAACACATCCATCACAGTTCTACTCATTTTTTAATAGTTTGAAATGTACCATTGCATCATGCACATTAGGTGAGGTGCCCACAAATACCATCCCTCTTCCCATATCCTTTCTTCACTAATCTAATCAACCATACTAATCTAATAAAGTACCACTAATTTAATCAACTTCACTGATCTAATCAACTTCACTGATCTAATCACCCACTGACCTAATCAACTTCGCTGATCTAATCAACCACTGACCTAATCAACTTCACTGATCCTATCAATCACTGACCTAATCAACTTTACTTATCTAGTCAACCACTGACCTGGAAAGTAGGCTGATTTTGCACAATGGCTACCATTATGGCCCTCAGGTTGTACCGGCCTCACTTGGACCCTGCACACCTGCACATGGCCTACTTCTCCTCTCTTCTGCACCTCTTGAGCCCATGCCCTCCCTTCCACCAGAGCTGCTCACTAGAGGTTACTATTGGTGACCCAGCTCTCACCTCACTACAGGTTCTGCAATGTTTTTGCTGTATTCAAGCCAGTTCTTACATGCACTTGGTCCATTGTTTGAGGAAGTCAATCAGAACAGGTAATAAAGAAATACAAACCACTTTGTGTTTACTAAACACATATTTTTTCCCATTTGACAAGTTAATTAAGCAATCAATAGATAAAACAATTGGAGTTAATTGAGCAGCCCAGCTGCAGTGTGAGCTAGCTGCCTGCCTAGGAGCTAACCTCCATACCCTGGGACTTGGCTGGTTGGTCAGGCCCTTGCACAGCCTCCGGAACGCACACAGCCAAAACAGAAGTGACCTGTGCTGGCCAACACCGCTGTCCTCCAGGAAAGAAGATAAAGCATCTGAAGCACCCACTGCCAGTTCCACACCCTCCAGGGAGATGCCTGAGACCAAAGCTTACCATGACATTTTAGAAGCAGGCCAGGTTTTGTTTGCTTGTGTCATTAATCTTTTTTAAAGACTTAATTTTTCATGGCAGTTTCACGCTCCCAGAAAAATCAAGAGGAATACAGAGGCTTCCCACATGCCTGTCCCCTCACACAACACCCTCCCACCTCCACTATGGACACATCCCCATCAGAGGAAACCCTAACCCTAACCCAACCCCAACTCCTGAACTCACCCTAATACCTAGCCCCTAACCCTAATCCCTCACCTTCACCCTCATCCTGACCCCAAACCCTAACCCTCACCCTGACGCTTAATCTTGACCCTTGACCCTGCCCCAACCCCAAACCCTAACCCTAACCCTAAAAACCTGACCCTGACCCAACCCTGACCCTAAACCAAACCCTAACTCTGATCCTAAACCCTAGCCATAACCCCTAACCCTAACCCCAACCCTAGCCCTAGACCTAACCCTAAACCCTGACCCCAACCCTAAACCAACCCTAACCCTTAACCCTAACCCCAAGCCTAACTCCAACCCTCACCATCACCCTAAACCCTAACCCAAACCCGAGCCCTAACCCGAACCAAAACCTTAACAATAGCACTAACCCTAACCCCTAGCCTAACCCTAACCACTAACCCTGACCCTACCCCTAACCCTAAACCCTAACCCTATACCTAACCCTAAACCCTAACCCAAAACCTCTACCCTAACACCAACCCCAACCCCAGCCCTAGCCCCATCCCCAACACCTAACCCAAACCCCAACCATAACCCTAGCCCTTACCCTAAACCCTATCCCCAACCCCAAACCCAAGCCTAATCCCATCCCTAACCCTAGCCCCCTAATCCTAACCCCCATCCTCACCTCCTAACCCTAACCCTAAACCTAGCCCTAACCCTAACCCATATCCCCAACCCTAAACCCTAACCCCCTAACATCCCAACTCAAACCCTATCCCCAAACCCCAGAACCCATCATGCAAAAGCAGACCCTAACCCTCATCTCAGGCCCCCAACCTTCGTTATCCCGCATGGCCCCCCTACGGCCATATTCGTCATCCACTGCGGGCCCTAACACCAGCCCTCACCCCAGCAACCCAAACCTGCTTCACCTCTTCTTCATGGAGATTCCCCCTTACCAGAATTATCAACTGAAGCCAAGGCCTAATCCCAGCCCTACCGGAGGGACCTGAACCCTCTTCATTACGCAGGTCCCCAAGACGGTAATTACTGCTCAAAGTAGGGCCCAGGTCCCAACCTCATCCCTGGTCCCACTCGCTCTTTACCTTGCCTGTTCCCCTGACCGTAATTACCACCAAGAGTCCAGCCCTAACCCCAGCGCTCACCTCAGGAACCCTCTTTATCCACGCATGTTCCCCTGACCTCCCGGAACGCTCTTCATCCCGCAGCCCCCACCACACCCCCCACCATCACGCCAAAACAGTCCCAACCGGCCCTCACCCCA